TATATATATATATATATATATATATATATATATATATATATATATATATATATATATATATATATATATATATATATATATATGTACCAAATATGTATATAGAATCATATATGAGTAGAGTGCTCGGTAAGTATAGAGCTAATATAGATAAAGATAAAATAAACCTGGTTTACTTCGTAAGATTTATAATCTTAAAAACATACATATATATATATATATGCACATGCACAAACTGACAAGGTCTTGCTGCTGGATACTTCGAGGACGATATTTGAAACGAAGTGAACATTTCCTCCCGTCCGTTTCACACGAACCAACACGTTTGAAAAACAGTGCTGATATATCTCAAAAAGTGATATGTATATAACAAATATAATACGTGCCTCTGTAGTATGGAAATGGCAGGTACATATTTCGTACTAGATAAATATTTGTATTATATAGGTTATTTTTGGAAAGAAAAGAATTGGAAACTGTCAACATGAAAAACTGCCACATAGTGTCAGTATTATTGGAATGGGATTCGGAATTGAATGGCGAAATTGTCTGTATTTGTCTGAAATTTTTCAACCATAATTTATATCGTTGATTTTTAGTCTGAAACTGTTCTAGACTTACTAAATTTAGATGATGATTTATATGACACAAACATAGGCAGAAACTATATCGTGGATTCGATTTCCATATTTCCAATATACCAATCTCACTTAGTAAATTTTATTTGTCTTTTACGTTATCAGTTGGATGTAAAATATATGTCGTGATATTATATAGAATATCAGTGTTTTGCTCTGGTTTTAGCAATTGAGTGTATGTTTTCCAGAGCAATTGCGTTAATTTATTAAACATGTTAAGTAGCGAGCATGAAAAGTCGTGTCTCCCTAAACCTTGCTTGTAAGCTTTAATTATCTCCGAGCCAGCGGCGTGTGAGCGCTAAGGCGCTAAAATGAAGGCGAGGGCTGCTGCATGCATGAATGTATTTTTTCTAGTTTATTTCTTACCTTGGCGAGTTTTGATGATTGCGGATCATCCATAAGGGACCAAACTTTCGGTTGCCATCTTTCCCAACACCCAATCCTTTCATTCATTTCCTCTTCGATCATAAACGGATCATCATCTTCAAAATCAATTTGAAATTCGACCCCTTCAAACCCTTTGAGAGTCTCTTGAGCATCTCTATGCTGGCGGTATGTTAACCAACAGCACGATTCAACTTGTTGATCATCAATGCCCCAGTAACTAAGTTCCTCCTCGTAAAGCGGTCCGCATACATCCAACGGAGCATGAAGTTTCCCTGTACGGAAATAGTTCAATACTGCAGCAAACACTGCAGGGTGTCTGTCAAAGAAATACTCTTCATTTTCAGGATCGAAGTCAACCTGTGCTGTAGTCTCAGTTATCCAGGAAAGCCTTGTATCGGGGATATTCTTCAAAGTAGTCTTATACGTTTCATGAATTTGACCTCCAACATTAATTTTAACTCGCTGTTTCTGGTGTTTTATTTTAGGCACTTCATTACCATCGCTTCCTCTGCCTGAATCGTACGCAGAATTATTCCTTTCTTCTACAGGATCATTGCCTTTATCACTATTTCCTTGTTCCCCTTTAATTGTACAAACGATATTTCTTTGTTCTATACTTGTGTCTATATTGCCATTTCCGTGAGTCATTCCAACCGTATCGTTGCCCTTGCTATTCATATTTCCTTGTTCTTATTTAATATGTTCCAAAGTAAACGTGGTACGCTTTAAGCTTTCAACGTCTAGAATACTTTTGTCGTTGTTGTACTTTTATCTATTCTTTCGCTTACAGATATGATTTTAAAAATTTAAAGATGATAGGCTAAACCGGAGTGGAAATGGTATAGACTGACATCTCCTTGTCGTGGTTTAACACACTTCAAAACTAACGCCGTATCCTTAAGACTTTAACGAAAATATTCGAGAAAAACTTAAGCGCGTTGTACTGCTTTTAATCTTCAAATTTGAATACGTTATCTTGTAACAGTTTCCATCATATACGAGTAAAAAGTGATATATGTATTATATTGTTGCCAATAAAGTAAAAATTATAGCTAGTTTTGTCGTCGATTAATGTGTTTCAAAACAAACGACGTATATGTTTCAAACGTTGAGAACGAAAGCCAAGAACAAACCTTTCTTCTTCCGTTTAATCCTTCGACTTTATATACATGACCTTAAAACGTCTTTGGGTGGTAATGATGTTGAGTAAAAAGCGGTTGAAGCCGACTTTTTGTGGTCGAGTAACATCGATGAAACAGCTAGTATTCTCCTTATTAATATGATCCCAAACAAATGACGTCTGCTTCAAACCTTGCACAATTAACGCCAACAAGAATACGTTCTTTTTTACCCCGATTATCCTTCCATTTCATAAATATGACCTTTAAAGATTTCCAGGTCAAAAGCTTGAGTAAAAAGCTTTTTAAACTGATGCTTTGTGGTTGATTTAGGCAAGTCGAAAGCTAGGCGATATTTGGAAAAGAGCAGGTGCAAAAATATTAATTGACCACAGACAACTGTACACATAATTGAAACGGACACATTTTAAAATAAAAATCGTCCGCGAGTGATGTTCATTTGCTGTGGTAAAAGATAAAATGCAACTCAAAATCCACTCCTTTCACAAATTTCGTCGAAAATTAATCCACGTATCTCAGTATTCAGGAAGAATTGGATTTTTCACTACAAAAGCTGACGGTTGCCTTAATTTCCATATAAAATCAACAAGAAGCGCTGACAATCGCCAATATATTCGGAAATTCGTATAATATTTATTGCGGTTATCTGGTCTAGCCAATCAGAGCCCAACATTACCAGACTGTACAAATGCACCTGCGGTTTTGGCTCATGAATATTTAAGCGTTTCATTTTAATTCAAATTGCATAACAAATGCTATATCTCGCCTTACGTCCTTGTAGCCGATTATACGAAATACATGAAACAAAACATATTCTGAATAGATATTTGTATATACATATCTTGCTTCCATTACATAGCGCTGCCAAAATCAAAAGCCGTTGCATGCAATGAAAGTATTAGTTATTTTGACTGGACAGGATATCGAAATGGCACGTTTGATTTGTGTGGAGATAAAATTTCATTTTAGCATTGCTATCGAACTGCTGTGTTGAAAATCCATTCATGTCTTGTGTATATAAAAGATAGAGCGGTCTGTGCTAGAGTACAGCTTGAGCGTGGTTTAAAAATTAACAAAGATGAAATGATAGATTTGGGCGAGCGTCTTAGTTGTAAGTAAATTGTAGAGAAGTCAATGTGACGGTTTAAAATTTGTTTGACTAAACTATGCCACGCTATTGTAAACGCACGCGCATGTTTTGTCGTCGCTTGTCCTAGCCATCTCGTGTGAGACCAGTCAAACTTATGTCCTTTGTCTTCTGCGTGTTTAGCTGGAAGTCAGCTATGATCATGCCAGTTGAAATCGATTTGGTGTACTATTAGCTTGTCTGAGTCTTTTTACATGTTTTCCCAATGTACTTAATTAAAGACTATGACAACCCAGACATAACAGACAAACATATACGGCCATTTATATGTTCTCTTGCAAAACTACACTGATAAGTTTATATATTATAAACCTGAAGAGCTTGTTTATTAACCCTTATTAAACCACTCTCCACTTCCTTCACTGCAGTGACTCATGATAACAAAAATCAACTGCATTCCATAGCAACCATGCAATATGACAGCTAACATACTGAAGATTATATATATATATATATATATATATATATATATATATATATATATATATATATATATATATATATATATATATATATATATATATATATATATATAACCAACAATGAGACGATGGATGTGGGACGCATGAATTATATATACGACAAGAACGCCATTCAACCTAATACGCATGATCTCTGCAT